GGTGTGGGTGTGGGGGGTGGGGGTGTGGGTGTGGGTGTGGGTGGGTGTGGGGGTGGGGGTGAGTGTGGGGGGTGTGGGTGTGGATGTGGATCTGGATCTGGATCTGGATGTGGGTGTGGGTGTGGATGTAGATACATACAAGAATCATACCCACACCCAAATGACCAGATTTTGACGGTCTTATTGGCAGAAACTTGGACCCTACTATCATGTTTTTCGAAACATTTTCACAATTTTTTGCTGAAAGACTGCCTTTCTGTTTGCAACAGCATTGAATAAAGCGTTCTTTGTTATATTAATCATTAAGACCCTACTAACACTCAAGATAAAGATCACATATTTACAGTCTCTCCTGAACACTGATATATACTTCACGTACGTTTCGACAAAATCTAACGAATATGAATGAAAAAATCGTTTTCTAAAACTTATTTAGTGTTTTTCTCAAGAACAGCAGACAATTGGAGCTAGATCACAATGGAGATGTGGGTGTGGGTTTTTGTGTGGATGTGGTTATGGGTTTTGCTGTGGGTGTGGGTATGGGTGGGGGTGGGGGTGTGGATGTGGCGTTATTCTGACATACACTCGCGCCCACACCCACACACCACACACCCACACCCACACCACACTTCCACATCCTCATCCACACCCACACCCTGTGGGGTTGGTGTGGGTGTTCCTCATGTCTTCATTCATATGCACACCCACACCCAGACTCACCCAAATTCGATAATGGACAATCGTTGGAGGTGCTATTAATGCAGAACTTATGCTGATGACTTGAAATCATCCGTTACAGTCTGTAATCCTCCTTTTAGAGTGGTCGCCATAGTGCCTGATGGATACCAGGTTTGTCTGTCATGGTTTATATGAATGTGGAGGGGGGATGCACATTTGTACTCTATATATACTTCAACACTCGCTTCAGGTCGTGTTTCACAAAAGTATCAGAAACAATAGCAATTATTCTCATTTATTTTTACATGGTGGCAAACGAATGAAGGTACAAGCAGTAAAGCAAAATGGATTTGAAAAAATAGAAAGTAGTTTCATGAACCAGAGAAAAGATGCGTACAGTCGAAACAAAAAATAGGATAACATAAAAATAATGATAAAATATGTGTGAAATAAAAGTGAATAGATAATTGACATGTGAATAACTTACACTCTTCTTTAAAATATGGTAAAATATTCTCTTTGGATACACTGTAATTAATCACATGATAGTGTTGAAAATGGATATTAAAATCATGTTAGTATACTATCTAAAGGATTTGAAAAAGTGATGATTCAATGAGCTGTATTAAAAAGGATTTCTTTATTTCGGTTTTCGAAAATTAAACAAGCTAAAAATTGAAAGTCACTGTTTTATGTAGAGGTATTATTTAAAAACTAGAGCTAGACTTATGAGGAAAGTAAAAACTTATTCCTGATTTTTATCGAATATTTTTTGTAACGAACTTTTCTCATATTGTTCACTTTTCCCTCTAATTCTAATCAATTGTCTAATTAGTCGAGGTAGTTGCCACACAGTATCGGCATCTTCTGCAAGACTGTCATAGACAATGGAACGAATCTGACGCTTAAGATCGATGTTGAGTCTAGCTTCTGTCTCTACTAAGATTTTCTCATCCTGATTCAATAATTTGGCTGCTAAACTAGAAGTCATAAAGCCTTTTGACAAATAGTTTTTTGTTTCAAGTTCGTCATAAATTTTCTCAGATTCTATTTTATCCTGATTAAAACAATGTCTATCGATATAAGCAACATATTTTTTAATCACATTCATTTGTTCTGCATTATAATAACAATCTCCGTTAAATAACCGGATAATAGTAATAATATTATTAATTTCATCATTCGTTAACGGTGTAGCATTTATTGGAACCATTGTAGGACCATTCACATCGTCAATATGTACTATGCTTACATTTGGATCTTTTCTTTCATTACATAAGTTAAAAAGGTGTTTAGCCTCAAGCGCAGAAATAATAATAAAACACACATCTTTATCATTTCTATGTATTAAAATCATATTAACTGGTTTCAAATAATCGCTTTGGTAACTTTTACTTTTAGCATCTATCGCTTCAATAGTTTTAATGAAATTTTCCGTTGCAAAGATTTGACTATGCCATTTTAAATTTCTCCAGTCATTCATATCCGTAAGTACAAAATATTGCTTCAATGATTTTAGTTTTGGGTAGCCACTCCCTTCTTTAAATACGTTTTGTTTGAAATTTTGTTCAAAAACCTTAGGAAAATCCCAAGCAATTTCAATTGACGGTGTATTTTTCAACTCAGAAGCAAGTTCAACATGTTGGATCTCTTCAATTTCTCTTGCATTTTCCTGCTCACAATTATAATCTGCATTAGTCGTTAAAATATCGTTAGGAAGTTTCTTATCAACTTTTTCAATAATTTTTTTCATTTTCGGTCTATCGATATCATTCCAATGTTCATTAAGTTCTTTAATGAAATGTGAATACGTCTCTTTATTTTCTAATTCACTTTTAACAAACGGATAAAATTCACTTAAATAAGTACCCATATTCTTATTTAAAAGATCTCGTGGGTTTCTTTCGCGAGGTGTAGTACCATATGAATTTTCTATGCTATCGATATTTTCACTTACATATGCTACAATAAGAGAATCCATAGGGATCTCTTTAATTTTCTTTTGATACTCAAGTGCTCTACCTTTAATTACATATTTTAATTTTTCTTTCGTCACTGGATATAAATCATTTTCATTTTTTCGAATTGTATTATAAGTAACCCATGTAAGAACATGTTTACTTGTTATCTCATCTAATTTAATTCCATTTATAATTGCAATTTCTGCTGACATTTCTTTTAAACCCCATATGACAATTGATTGTTTAAAGTCAAGATCACGAATACGCATAACTGCTTGCATAAGTTTATCTTTATTCATATTCTTACCAAGTGTAACTACTCCTCGTGCAGTTAAAGGTAATTTTAAATCAGTTCCACGAGTATGTGCCTCGTCTAAATAAACAAATAGTTTCTTATTATCAATATGGCATGCGGATAATGGTACGCATTCTTCACGTCTTAAAATGACCATAATTTTACTATTGTTATCAGAAAAATAAACAATACCATCAAATCTTTTATCGATATTTTTAATAAGATATTTCGACACGTCCATATTAGTCATTTCTGTAATAATAGCACCTGAATCAATCAAAATATAACAGTCTTTATCATTTTGCGCATAGCGACAAACTTCGTCCAAAAATTTTACTGTATTTGAAACGTCAACTTTCGTTTCATACTTTTGATTTATTTTTCGTGACAAAATATGTAACATCTTGCCATTCGTTCCTAATTGAGAATATAATCGTTTTGAAACAATAGATTCTGGCATTGTATCATTACGATCGTCAGTGCCTGAAAATCCATTGTTTTTTCCTTCACCAGCTAATGTATGAGCGTTTCCTGTAATTTTTTTTTCAAAATATTTCGTATCATTAGGAAATGCGAAATTACTTAAATAATATTCAATAAAACTGAAGTTTCGAGACAAATAAAGATGTGCCTTTTTAATACTATTTTCATTTTCAAGATCGAGAGTTTTGAAAGATTTTAACCACAATGGAAATTCTTCATTTTCTTTTTTAATATGTTCATTAATCCACTCTTCATTCTCTTTAACGCATGTTTGTAATAACATGTTCTTATCTCGCTTCTGATCACTTTTTAATTTAATTAATCCATCCTTAACCTGTTTCAAATCTAATCCTCGATATAAATAACTCAGAATAGTGAAACCAATCATAATATCGGGATGACTAAATTCTGAATTTTCTGATGGTAAATCTTTTCCTCGAAAAGGAATCGCGATTTCTTTTTCACTTTTTTCCGATAGTCCATATTCAACTCGATATCGATAACTGATAACATGATACAGTAATTCATGAGATAACCAACCTTTTGCTAACAGAAAACTATTTAACATATCGACGCTTTTACGTTTCAATAATTTTATTATTTTATCTTCTTTGAATAGACACTTTCCTTCAATGAATTCCTCGTAACTTCCATAACATTCACCTTCATCATTCATTATAGAAGTCTGTTTCTCACAAAAATTTTGGAGTATGATTTTACAAATTTCTTGGCAAAGCTTTGGTTTTATGTTACGTTGAAAATATTCATGTTTCACAAAACGTACAAGTGGACTTCCACCACCTATTCCACTAACTGGCCGAAAATCTCTTTGAAAAACAACAGGACAATCATCGAGTTGTGAAGCCTTTTCTAAAAATTGACCAAATTCTTTTTCACAAAAAATAATTCTAAATAGTAAAAATGGAATTTCCCAGCGAATCGAACCACCATCTAAAGATTTTGTTGCTCCTAATGTATAGTTTAACTCTTTTCCATGACTCAAAATTTCATCCGATTCATCAAGTATATCAAAGAACTTAAACTTATCGATTGAATAAAGTAATTCAAGCTTTTGTGCGCGTTCAGTCTTGAGTTGTGTCGATTGATCTCTTAGAATATAATAAGCATCTCTAATATTAGACAAGTAAGCTTTATCAGGGATTTTATTAATAACTTCATCATAAAATTTATTGTATTCTTCAGAAGGATATTTGACTATTTTATCAGTATTGTCAATATATTTTAACGATTTTAAGGCTTCTTTTAAAATTTTTTGTTCCTCTGTTAAAACATATACATTTCTTTGACTTTTCTCTACACTTTTCTTCCGATATCCATAAGAGTGCCATCTACCATGTTCCTCCCAGTCAAAACAGTCATCAGCGTCTTTTGATTGTAAATATTCTAAAAACATTTCTTGTTTTTTCAATTGAAAACACAAACGTTGTTCAGGTGTTACTAATAGAATATGTTTTTCATTTTGACATTCAGTCAGCATTTCTTTAATTTTTTCAAGATTTTCTATTGAAAATACAACTCCTCGTGAAAAGGGCATAACAAATATTTTCTTTTTTAATAATCCACGAAATTTATTTCTTAATAATTCTTGCATAACACCCATCAATGATTCTAAACAATTTATTCTGACTATTTGTTTACCATCAGCTAATATATCACTCAATAGAATTAGAATAACCGATGTTTTACCTTCGCCCATATTTAACTGATAAATACTATTGACTTCGTCTTTCATCATTGTTTCTATAAGAGAATATTGATTTTCACGTATTAAAAGATTATTTTCTGTTTCAAACAATAACCACGATGGATATAATTTATTATCATAACTTCTCTCCATTTGGCTGTTCATTAAAATATTTTCTAAAATTCGTTCTCTTTCGTCTTTGTGATTCATCTCATCCAGCGACTTATACTTCGAAATCAACAACATAACTCTTACTATTTGCTGAATCAATGTTTCTTGAACTAAATAGCATTGAATTTTTTCTTTAAATTTATCTTTTTGATTCATAATAAAAACATTAAATTCTTTTATTTTATCAATATCTTTCACTAAAGGCAAAAACTCTTTTTTAATGGGAATAATTTCTTCTCCTATGATTCGATTTAAAATAAATATAGTTTTTTCTTCGGATGTATTGGTAATGAAACAAATATTTCGACATATTTCTTTTAATAATGCTACATTTAGTTTTTCGTATTCAGAATAGGATTTCATTAGGATATCTGCAACATTATTTACATCATATCCAGTTTTCAACAAAATTTCAGTCTGTGGCGTTTTCAAATATCCAAGAACATTTGAATGACGCTTAAGCTTCTCTAGAATATTACTATTGTCGATATCTTTTAGTTCTAATTGAACAAATTCTTCTTGATGAAAACAAAAATGATATTTTTTCTTACATTCATCTGTCGTATAACTATAGTTTTCGATGATTTTTAATTCACATATATTCTCATCTATTTTTTCATATACTGAAATAGAAATTTTCTCTCTTTTACATAAGAATTTTAAAACGATTGGATCTACAATATTTTCTTCATAGCAGCAGTTTAAATATGACTTGAACAAATGATCATGTTTAAGAATAAAATCTTCTTTCTCTTCGAGAATATCTTCCACATTTCTAACCCAAGTTTTAACATCTTTTTTAAGATTTGCATCATTTTTGTATTTTTCTAATAATTTTTGAAGTGATTCCAATGGAAGTGGTTTTTTCAAAATATTTCGTTGAATAAGTGCGTTATTAATTTCCTGACATTTATTCTCGTGTTCAATGTTCATCTTTCGTATGTCATCCCGTTCACTTTCAGAAATGTATTTTCGTGAAATATCATCTTTCACCCATTGGTCTACAACTACTGATAATTCAATTTTAATCTCATTCAAATTACTTAATATGTAATCATTTGCCTTTTTATAATCGCCTATTAATTCTTTCAGAATATCAATACCTTTTCTTGGTTCTTTCATCGAATAATAAAAGTATTTTTCCTTGAACTCCACTATAGAAGATTGTTGTCCATAGCTTTCTTTCAAATCAGAAATAAATGCTTTTCCATATCCTTTCGAAAATACTTCTTTGACAAGAGAATTCTCAGGTAAAGTGTCACAATCAAGTGGAAAATTGATGTTTTCAGGATAATGAAATTTAATGTCGAATAGCTTCTTTAGATTTTCGTAATGTTCTCTTGTATTAATACTTTCCACTTGCCAGTCTAAATTTGATCGATTATTGTCATGAATTTCTGAATAGGAATACTTTTTACTGAGTTGACTGTCAATATCTTTAACAGATAAAGTTATTTTGAAATTCGATATACCTGTCGTATTCGAAACAATGTAACCAATATTTTGTGACTTAACAATTTTCTCGCATCGTTCGGATATGTCGACAATAAACTCATACAATGCCTTATTTCGATTCTTAATAATATTTTCATGCATCTTATTCGATAAGTCACTAGTAATACCAATAGGTTTTTCTTTTGTTTCCTTATTAACAATATCATTATGATTATAATTGAGTAGAAAATCATCTCCAATCATTTTCATCATATCACTGTCGAATCGATATTGTCGATTATAATCTATTTCATTTTTTTCTGTTAATAAAAACTCTGGCAATGGATTAAATTCTTTTGGAAAAATAGAAACGACATAAAGCATCCTTATAAAAGCTTCATCATCATCAAGTCTCTCCCAACGATATTCTTTTTCTTGACGAGATGCTCTCAAAAATAAATAAGTCAGAAAATATGAAAAACTTTCAGTATTAAATTCACCAGTACTTTCTAAACTCAAGGCTATTCTATAAAGAGAAACGAAGTAAGAGATTTCAAATTTAATTTTAACCCAATCACTAAATATACTTTTAACAATGCAAGGTTTATTCGTGAGCAAGCGATTATTCGAAAGTCGTTTGTTTAAAAATTTCAAGACTTCTTTTTTGAATTTGTACGTTTCCAAAGATGCTCTCGAAAAAAATGAATTCACTGAATTCTTATAATCTATAGGATTGATCGGCTCAATATCAAGATCTTTTTTGTTGTTTATATACTTGTAATAGTCGGAAATTCTCGAGTTCGAATGTTTTGTTACACAAGACGATAATAATTTCTTTTCTTCTTCATGAGATAATCGACATCGTTTGTCAATACGATCCTTGAAAATCAAATAAAAATTGAAATGATATTTTACCAGATTATTATATAGGAAATGATGATAGAGAGTTTTTCGACTATCATCTATTTTGATCATAAAATCTGTTTGATAACTACTTAATAGAAGATAAATCAATCGAAGTAAAATCGCATGAGTGTTACGATGATGAGGATATGAACCATAATTATCTATAGTAAACATTTTCTTTTCTGAACCAGCATAAGTTGACCAAGGTTTTTCTAAATCTGGGCATGTATTTTCAAAAAAATTTAAAATAATATTGAATTCTGCATCAGAATATTGACAATTTTGCCAACAAGTTTTGAGAATTTCTGCACAAATTTCATAGCTATTCAATTTAAGAAACAAATCTTTATCTAAGGTAGCAGTTTTAAAATAGAGAAGAGCTAGATAAAGACTTCCAGCTATTGTTTCTGAATTCAACCACTCTAAGTTTTCATCTATTTCGTATGAAAAATATGCTGGTTTTCCGACTTTCTTTAAGTTGAATTCAATGGTGTTAGAAAAAAATGATTCTTTTTTTTTAATCGGATGATAAGGAATAATTAATTTTCGATTAAATTTAATCAGATTATCAGATTGAATATCTGGTTCGATTATTAAATATTGTGATAATCCTGATAATGTATTTATATGTTGATCTTGACTTAAACGATAATCTTTAAAATCTTCTGATATAACTTTTGTACCATCGAGTTTGAATTTTAAATTAAGTCTTGGTAGAAAAATCATGACTGGTTCACAGTCTTGCTTCTGATCTTTTAATAACATTATATAATTTTCCTCCTCAAACCGAGAAAATGTCTTATATAAGACGTTGGACTGATCGAATCCACTTTTAGTGAATGGAATAAGAAATTTTTGATGCTCATGGGAATAAATTTCGTTAGTTATTAAATCTATCTCAAATTTGACTATCTTATCATCATCTATAATAAATATTTTATCATTTTCATACCAATGAGTGTAAAAAACTAGTTTTTCATTTTCTGAATGGGCGCAATTTTCGAGTAAGAATTTAGGTAATAAGCTTAAGTAACTTTTTGAAACAAATGTCTGATCATCATTTTCAATCCAGATTTTACCATCTTTAAGTAAATAAACTCGAGCATTTATGAATTCTCTATTTCTTGTTTGATAATAACGAACTTCCTTTCCAAATTTCTCTTTCTCAGCAACATAAATAAGGAAATTTTGTGTTCCGAAACATTCTTTATAATGTGAATGATTAACGATAACATCAGGTAAACATAATACCGGATTACCGTTTTTGAATATACGACCTTTCAAAGGTGAAAAGGTATAACAATCTTTTACATAAGTACCCATTTCTTTATCTTTCTTCCACTGATATTTTGACTTTTCAACACATGTATCTAACATGTTTAAATTTCTATCGATGATATTTTCAATTTTAGAATTCAAAGTAAAAAGAGTTCTCATCGTTTTTATGTACAAGCTATTAGGTATGAAACCGTGTAATTTAGAGTTGCCCTCTATTTTTATTCTCAATTTGAGAATAAGTTTGACTTCTTTCTCATCGATTTTGCTTGCATTTTTATGTGTTAAAATATAATAACAGCTCAAGATGGATATTTCAGTTGAATTACCATTGAGATTCGATCCATTGTTTTCCTCGATGACGAATTTCAATAGTGCGACACGAAGTTTCTCTAAGCAATTATCAATCGAATTTTTATTTTGAATAGAGCAAAATTCATACAAATATAACAATATATCTAATGCGTGACCTATTGATTTATACTGTGTAATTCTTTCTTGTAACTCGAACATTATTTGAATGAACTTATTCACTAACGCAAGAGCAATTTTTTCGTTCTGAAATTGCTTTTCTAAAGTGCAAGTTTCATCATACGCTCCTAATTTTTGTAATATTTGTTTAATTAAATAACAATGTTCCTCTATCTCGAAGCTAATCTCGTTGTTTTTTAATGTAATATATAGGTAAGTTAGTTTAAGATCAGCATATAATTGAATAGAACATAAACGATAATATTGTGGTCTTGTCAAGTTATTTGGCTTTTCATTATGTGTAACAATAATTTTATTTTCAGTTGGATTTCTGTTATCATTTTTGTCTTGAAGGATTCTGATCAATCTTTGATATGTATGTTGTTCCTTAGACAGTGTAAAATCGACAAGTCGCCTATTATCGAGTGAAGAAAACATACTAATTAATAAACCAGAAATGTGACAACCGTATTCGTACGAACACTTGAAGCAACTATACATATTTTCATCTTGCATCAGTTCAGATTTAATTTTTTTTATGACTTCTACAGAAAATCCGAGTAAAGAAAACTTAGATAAATATGAAATGTCTCTTAAATGTACTAAAAGCTCAGGCAGATAATTCTCGGTAAATAAAATTTCATACCATTTCTCTTTCAGCTGATCTGTCGGGACATCTTTTAAAGTTTCTTGAAATCTTATGAAACGGTCATTGAACTTTTCTCTTAAAAGATTCAATACATACATAACATCCGTACTATTTTCATTCGAGTGATTATTTAAATTTATTGAATCTTCTTCGAAAAGGAATTTATCTGTTTTTCGAGTTCGTTTAACATTCGTTGAAGATAATTCAAAATGTTCGTCAATTTTTTTAACTAGTTCAAACCATTTTCTCTCTGGTAATGCTAACTGTGGTAACACTTGTTTTAAAGATATTGCCTTCAATTTCGTACTAATCATGTAATTCTTAAGACTAGGACCAATATCTTGATCTCTTCTTACTAAATTTTCAATCATAGCTAAAAAGCTAAATAAAACAAGAATTAGTTTTGTATAGTAAGTCGGTTCATAAAGACAATTTTCGTCAGGATGTAAATGAGAAGTGATGATAGCAGAACAATTGTAATAGATATTTGCCATCTTCATTAATAGACGAGCTGATTCAACACTATATTTTTTATCAGAGTACCAATTTCTGAATCCATTAGATGAAGCCATTGAAAATACGAACTCCTCTATCAATTGACAGATTTGAATAACTCGATTAAATCTGTGATGTCGAGTAATTTCATCTAACATTTGACTAAATTTAACTATTTCCTCGTTATTTCTATGTTTGATGAAATTAAGCGTATAGAATGTAAATTGATTTCCTATTGTACTATTAGGTGATGAGGCGAAATTTCCAGCGATGTTCTCCTCAATAAACTTTAATCCTTTGAGATTTTGTGATAAGATTCTTTCAAAGTTACTTCTCTGAAATATCATTTTTTTCATATATTTCTCTTCTCGATTTTCTTCACTTGATTTTTGGTTACTAGAATCAATCTTCCGCTGAATCATTAACATTTTATCAGTAATCGTCTCCCTATTAACATTGTGAGTATTTACTGTATCATAGGCAATTTTGTTACACATCTCATGCAATAAAAATTGATATTTCAGACGATTCAATCTATCATTGGAATCTAACTGTTCAAATTTATCAAAAGTACTAATCAGCAATCTAAATTGAAACTCACAAATAATTTTAGTATATAAAATTTGTGCCTCTCGAATGTCAAAGTATTTTGTCAATAAATAATAAAATACAGTTTTTACAAGTGTCCACGATAAACTAAAAAATCCTTTTTCTTCCATATTTATAAAATACTCTTCTTCGTTTCTAATATTTCCTTCCCCACCGAGTTTCGATAAAACAACTTCGTAAAGGTATGATGATTCATAATTTTCGTCAACTGAAATAGCTCGAAGTGTCATTAGAGTTAATAGAAAATTAAAGTCAAAATTTTGTGATGGAATGTTTTTGATTTCTAACCCTAGACTAATTTTATCTTTTGTCAGTTCACGAAACGATCTTTGATAAGGACTTATCGGATCTATTTGAATTAGTCTTTTGAATTCTTTACTTTCACGTTCAATGATGGAAGCAGCAGGATGTGAACCAATGTAATTCGATTCTAACATTAGCAGTTTGGTATAACGAGATGTTTGCCAAGGGTATTCTACCGAGTTGACACTTTTCCAAGTAGCCTTCGCAAAACCAGTTGGTAAAATGAAAATGTCTGGTAAATGTTCAAATCTTTCTTGTAGCAACATAATGTAGTTCCTAAAATCTTGATTTCGTTGTGAAGACTTTCCGATTAGATTCACTACTGTTAGTTCAACAAGCCATTGTTTCAATATGTGAAAGATAAGTGCCATTTTATCTTTTTGGTCGTCCGAAATGGAGAAAATTTTTGTATTACTGTCGCTGATCTCTTTGTTTTCGATTTTGGATGATAAATAATTTAGTAGCAAGTATAATACTTCTATTTCATTTGGTTTTTCAATATCAGTTTTGACAGTCATGCTTGAGCCGTAGAATATTGCAAATAACTCACTAAGACGACCAGTTGTTATCATTTGTATTTCTTTTTGCGCAAGATCTTTCAACGAAGAATTGTTTTGAACTAAATTCAATACGGATTGTAATAAGTCTTCCGCTGGAAAACTTGTAGACAATTTCGTAGCGTCTAAAAGAAATAAAGAAACTTAATAAACACTTACAAACATCAATTCTATCCTTAAGTCCTGTTTGGATTTATGAAAAAATCATTGCTAATAGTATGGATGTGGATGGGATGTGAGCATGTGTGTAGATTGAGAACAGAATCACAATTGCAAGCTAGTCACATACTCACATTCACATCCTATATTCATTCTGTTTATAGGGAAGTCGAAACTCACGAGGGCTTTTCTTTTGTACAGTTTTTAAACTCGATCAACTGTATTTACTTTGAAGACTGCGGATGTACACTCTCGGTCGAAGCCATAACCACACTCACACTCTGGGATTGATAATAATCGGTAATCGAACAATAATCAGGATGGGAATATAAAACTAACTTATTTTAAATCATACAGAAACTCAAAGTGTGCTGTTACCTGTACGTTTTGATGAATCTTGTGGAACTCTAAACAGTATGCAAAAGAGAAAGATTATGATAGATAGAAAGAATAGGGACGGACAATTTTTTTCGCATTTTTTATATTATAGTATACCTGAGTAATGGAACAAAATGATTGGCACCGCGTTCGTTATCAGGATCCTGCATTTGTTCTCTGGGAAGTGTATTCGTCCACAGTATTCTTATTTCATGTATAGTTCCCCGTGGGTTCTTAATTGGTTCATAGATGTAGTTTTGTAAAGGATGTAAACTACGATCATGAAAATACATCAATTTAATTCTACATTTCAATACATCACACAAGCCAAGTACATCCCATATTTGGGAATGTTCGCCCATTCGTGCCTTACTACAATATGCCAGTATATTGTCAGCGCCATTTTCCAGTTCGAGATTAGAGTAGGATTTAATATAATTGTCGTAGTTAATTACGACTTCAAGTAGAGAACGTACACGTAACTCGTGTACTGATATGTTAGTGAGGTTTCCAATAATTTTAATCGAATTAAACAAGCAGTTACCGTCTGGATCACTATATATTGGTACGAGACCTGCGAATCTCGCTTGACCTTTAATGTGACTTTTCCCGATTTCATCTTCACTACATCCCTTACTGAAGTCTTCCATAGGAGTAAACGAAAACTGTATTTTGGAGACATGCTTTTCCAAAAACTGACATACCTCCCTGAATTTGTCTATGTTGTCATTATCTATCCGGAATCGTGTCGCTTGCTCTTGGATAGCATTTAGGTTTTTAACGAAGAAATTGTTACGTTCTCTACCACCGTGAATGTTTTTGCAATTCTCACATATGTGCAATAAGAATTTATTGGTATTTGTAACACAAAGAATACATACAGAATCGTTATTCATCTAGAAGATAAACCAAATAAAATTAAAAGTTAAAAGTCGAATATGTTAATGTGAGAAAGACACATCATTTCTAGCAGATTTACTTGAATACTTTATTGAAATAACAGTTCGACCTGGAAAGATATTCCTACAGAATCATAAAAGGTTACTTTGTACCTGATACTGTTTGCACGTATAATCATGATTAATTCGATTAACCTTAAATAATCTAAAAAGAAGCTAGCAAAAAACCCTCTACATTGACGATTGATCTTATAAACCTCAAAAATTTTTGTCAACGTTGATTCAAGGATAATATTGTTTGCAAAAAGACTTCCTTCGTACTTTTTCTAAACCTTTAATTAAAAAAGAGTATTTAGGTTTATGAATGATAGACATCGAGATATTTATCATCAATCAAATAACATTTTGAGATGCTCTTTTATGAATATTTTAGTGTATAAATATTTACTAAAGAATTGAAGCTTTCTGAAACAAATAACACATTACTAACTTATCTCAAATGGTTCTTATACACTAAATCAATTATACAGGGTGTTCCAAAAGTCCGAACGAATAAGAATATTCAATATCTCCACCGCTGTTTCATTAAATGAGCTATTTTTTGCCCTGGTGGTAGAGGATTCTTTGAAGTTTTTTTTCATAAGAAAACCATGAATACATACTGCTTTGAACTATCATTTTTAACTTCAATATCGAAATGCATCCATTTTCGACTTTTCAAAAAAATGGTTTCGAGCGAGAATCCCTGGGATGATTAATTTTAAACTGTAACTTTGGCCAAAGCAAGGTCTCACTCAGAATAGATTCTGTACAACATTTCAGAATTTTCTGATCTAGTCTTTCCGAGATATGAATTTTTCAAATTTTGCACAATATCAATGGAAAAGCGCCTACATTTTGAAAAGTTCATATCTCGGCAAGACTGTACCCAAAAATTCTGAAATTTTGTACAGAAGCGAGTCTGAGTGAGATCTTCCTTTGATCAAAGTTTCAGGTCAAAATTCGAAATTATAATTTTCTTTGAAAATTTGGGGTCATCGAAGAGATGATCCACTAAAAATTCCATAACTCAGCCAAAACTGTACAAGAGCATGAATTTTTTGGAGATCATTATAGTCCAGTGGTCCTCTAGCAATGGGAAAAATATTGCTTCAAAAGCTTCTGATCACTCAAAAGCTTTTAATTATCTCGGGGGTTCTCGCTCGAAACTATTTTTTGAAAAGTCGAAAATGGATGCATTTCGATATTGAAGTTAAAAATGATAGTTCAAAGCAGTATGTATTCATGATTTTCTTATGAAAAAAAGCTTCAAAGAATCCTCTACCACCAGGGCAAAAAATAGCTCATTTGATGAAAGAGCGGTGAAGATATTCCATATTCTTATCCGTTCCGACTTTTGGAACACCCTGTATATATACACAACGTAACAGTTACGAAGCGTACCGTGGCGTAAATATATAAAGAAAAGGAAATCTGATAGATGTTTTAGAAAGATTTTCTTCATTATGTTATAGAATCATGATGTAATCCGTTGTAAAAATTAAATGCTGAATTGTTCAAGTTGATATTGGTTTTTGAGTTCTTCTATAGTTGCATTGGCATATTTCTTGTTATGTTGTTGTAACTCTTTGAAATAATCATCCTCTGATCTTTTAAAAAGATCACCTTTCGCTGTTGATAATGCATCGTTGGGTTCTGGTTGAAAAAGCAAACTAATTATTTGCTGGAGTACATCGTACATAGATGTCTGTTTCGTCCAATGACTGCGTAAGATTTCATGACAGATTTTTCCATCATCACTGATATTACAGTGATAAATGGGAGTTATAAATCGAATGTCCGGTGGTCTCAATGGATAAGTATGTGATGGAAATTCGACAGACAAAAGCCATCTATAACCACAATACCTGCTTCCTGGAGGACCATTCATAATTATTTTCCAAAAAAGAATGTTGTCTTTGCAAACAAATATAATAAAGTGTTCCGGTGGCCTTAGTTTCAAATTGTTTGCTTCGCGGAAAACTCGGTTCAATGTTTCATTCGATACAACTATGTCTTTTACTGGGACTTCTTCTAATTTTGTTGCTGGAACATGAAGGGCCTCCGGCTCGCATAATATGGGCTCTTTAACAACACCATAAACATTTTTATTGCGTTTGTTTACACTCATTACTGGCTCCCGTTCAAACAGAGTAATTAAATCCTTTTCTAATTGAGGTATTGGAAGATAATAATATCCTTTTGATGATGTGCATAGATGAACAAGTGATTGTGCCTCCTTGTCCCTGAAGCAAATACTATCAAAAATAACATGATCTTTCTGAAGTCTTTCAGTAATTCTCGGTAACGTCATTTTACTACATGTATCTTCGCCATCAGAAAGACAAATGATAAGTTTCTGGAAGTTAGGACTCATTTTGCTTTTGTGCTGTTCATAATATTGGATCATTTTGTCTAATGCGAATTCAATGGCATCATACAATGGAGTGTGCGAACCGCAATCTGGTCGAGTGCTGAACGATTTTTCAAAATCAATATAATTAGTTGTAATTGGACAGGCTTCGTAAACAAGTTGAGCTCTCGCTGTTTCTTTAGCACCACAGTAGATGAGACCAACAGCATGTGGTAATCGATTGCCACAGAATTTGTCACACCAGGTGCCCAATGCGGTAATGCTCAAATCAAGAAGACTTTTAGTATTGCTTCCTTTTGTATTTTGCATAGAACCACTTATATCAAATAGGATAAGAGTTAGCTGTTCAATGGGACGCACATTCCAAACATTATCACGTACAGGTATATAAGAATATTCACGCAATATTTCATCAGATGCTACTTCATCCTTTGTAAAAGTCACTCTTCTTGAATCGAAAGGATCATAGGCAGTAAAAACATCTTTGCTGCTCTTGGAAGGACTGATCATATAAATTATACGTCGTGGTTCTTTGAGTAGCACAAACTGCATATTGTTGTGTTTGGAGAGCGATGACGGACGTACAAACGTGAAAGAGCTGTACAAATCATTAGTAGAAAGTTCTTCTTTTATCCTTTTCAAATCAGCGTCATTGAATTGAACAATTTTCTTCTTTTGTTCAAAAATGTTGCCAATTGAAAATAAGTTTCTGTCTTCTGTCGGTACCCATATCGTATACTCTCTGTAAGAAAGAAAGGAATTTTCAACGTTATTTTGGTCGAATATTTTGATTTATCTATATTTTAGAGTTTAATTATTTTCTCTTAACTCGTTTTGTTTTTCTTCACTGATAAGACAATACATAATCAAGTAGAATTGTATTAGATAGAACTTTGTTAATCTATAAAATTAATCTAGATTGGTCAATCTTACATTTTTCTATTTTGCCTATTTTTTGTGAACTTAAACCGCGCTGAATAAGAAATTTTATCCTACTTGTCATAGTATATTTTCATTAGATGTAACATCATGTAATTTTTGTCATATCGAGTGGAATTACACTATGGATAAGTCTTTTCAAAACATAGATGAAGCGTTTCGAGAACACCACAGTCATTAAAAAAGTTCTTTGCACAAAAAAATCCTTTTCTTCATCTCTTTCAAAGATCACATTCATGAAACTCATCAATAAATGCAAAATTTATAGAAATATATTGCAGTAATATTTCTTGAAGCATGTCACTCAGATCATATACGTCCAATTATTCTATGATTGCTACGATTGTAGTACTTTTTCAGTGCGAATTTTGAGAAAAATCGTCTGCAGCTTATACAGTTTGGTACCGTTCTAAGTGAGAATGAGAAAAAGATTCAAAGAAAACTCGCGATAAAGACTATTGACTAGAACTTATTACATTGGTTCTTACGTTTTACATAATTTATCATTCTCTCTCTTTAAATTTTATCATTATTTATATTCGATGTGGATCGCATCTTTGAATATTATCATAGAATCGATTGTTCATGTACAAGAAATGGGTGTGGGTGTGGGTGTGGGTGAGTGGGTGTGCGTGTGGGTGTAGGGTGTGGGTGGGTGTGGGGTGTGGGTGTGAGTGTGGGTGTGGGTGTTGGGTGGGTGGGTGCGGGTGTAGGGTGTGGGTGGGCTTGGGCGTGGGGATGAGTGTGGGTGTGGGTGTGTGGGTATGGGCCTCTTAGAAATAACACCCACCCACCCACCTCCACACCCACACCCCACGCCCACCCTCACCCCCACACCCCGCCCCCACACCCATCCACACCCCACATTCCAGAAAAGCAAAAACTTCGAATAATAAATAAAATTTTCCTATCTATTTCTACGTGGTCTTAGAAATGCTGTGTCTGTTTTTATTTGATAGCGGCGAAACAGTTTTGAAAAGTCTATAAGACTCAGTAGTTTTAATGGCACGTTCACTGGTTTTGTTACACAGATCAACCCATTTTGAAAGTCACGAATAAATGTCGAAGTGTTGTACTTTGTAGATCGGACACTTTACAAACTATAATATTTTTATATTAGATGCTCGGTTCTATTCCTATATAATTGTTGATGGACATTGTGTAAAATATTTTAATAAGAACAAGAACATGATATATTAATGAATCAATTATAATCATGAAAAACCAAGGTTTCAGAGATTCATTATTTCCGTCTTCCATATAAATATGCTGTAAAAAAATAAAATAGAACTTTATTTTCATATTTATTAGTCGGCCAATACATGTTACTTCTTTTATTGTTCTACTTAATAATAGGCGGACGGAAAAATAAGAAGGTAATACTAGAGGATAAGGTTATATTTTTTGATCTTTCGTTACATTATTACAAGATAGAAAAATTAAAGAAAAAACATGTATAGGCAAACTACCAAATATATACAGGAAATCTATTTTATTCTATATAGCAAATTTTGGTGTGGGCGTATGGGTGTATGTGTGTGGGAGCGGATGGGTGTGGATCTTTTTGTATGCCCTCATACTCCACATCCACTTGAAACAGACGCACCCAGATCCACACCCACACTTTTTGAAAATAGCACTTCAGACTTTTAATTGTATTGAAGCACATTCACTTACTAACTCTACATCCTTACATTGAGAAAAATGGAAAAGAACAAAACAGCCGTGCATTTTGCAAAGGCTGCCGCTAGTTTATAATAATGATAATCTTCCTCAATGTTACAAAAAATTATGATATTGAATCAGGTAATCATTTCTTTTTACCCAAGTAAAAATATAAACACTTAACAAACTACTTTTAGAATGAACATTTTTTCTTCTAAAAGTTGTTGTTTTTAGATATAATAAAGATTGAAATACTTTCTCTAAAAAAAGAAATCTTTAAAGATTCCATTTTATATAATGGTTTCTGTTGTATCTGTTGGTATATTAAAGAAAGGTCGGCATATTAGTTTTGTATCATTGTCATCAAAATATAAGAATGGACAAAATACTTTCCAATTCTTATAAGTTACTTGAGTTCTTCAAATGCTGTTCCATTATCCTCGAAGGAAAACTAAGATCAAATTTCCAAGCTTATATATGGAACCGGCAGGAAATCATAATATTAATCTATTCATTCTTCGACTCATCGAAAGTAAGTTAACATTTCTTCTCAAAAACTGTCGGCAAACTCATTAAAAATATATAATGTTATACTTTCTGATGATCTATGTTTTTTGTGTCATTCATTTCTCTCTCAGTTTTCAAACGGAGGTTTGCATTTAAAAAAGGCTTTCGTAGGACTACATTTTCGCGCTCTATCGTTGAAAAATAATGTGTTTTCTGTACAAAACTTAACCAAAATGTCGTATAAATTTAATATGGTAATCAAATACGTCTAATATTTTGAAAAAATTTTTTGCCAAAGCAAAAATTACTGTTAAATTTCATAAGAACAACTAACACATAATAAGTTAATAACTCATATGCTAATCAGTTTTTGAGTAAAAATATTTCTTTGTAAAAAAAAATATTAGTTGAAGAATATGAAGATTGGAAATGGAATTTCTACGTTAGATGAATTTATCTTCATACGGACATGAACCTCTTCAGCAAGAAAATCATCAGAAATGAAAACCTATTGAGATACAATTTTTTTCTTATTGATAAAATATCAACTATGTGGTATTCATTTTCTCGTGTTAATAAATTGTTACTTAATTAATTTATTTTTCGTTATCCGTTTCAAATTAATTTTTTTTTTGAGTGAGGTAGCTATTTGATTGAGACATTTCTTACATTTTATGTAGTTCTAGCATATGGTAAGAGATTGATGAAAACTGTAATTCAAAGTAATAGAGATATTTTCTCAATTAGAATGTTTTTAAAAGAAAGATGTTCGATACGGAAAGTGATGGAAACTCGAAGCTACCTTCTTTATATTTAGATTTCTTTCGCCCTATGCATAGATCAGAAAGACGTTTACATAATACATCAGTTTCTTGTTCAACAGCTGTGTATTCTTAAACAAAACGTTGTTCATTGTTTCATTTTTTGAATCCTACAAGATGCTCCTTCTCTATGACGTGTGAAGCGAAACTGGTACTCACGTAATCTTCAAATGATCTCTGTTATCCGTGGATTTTTTCATGTATTCCATGAACACCTTTAAATCTGTTTGCTTGATGTATGTATTCTTCGGTTCAGTCGAGTTATTATCTAATTCCACTAAAGTGAACTTTTCATTTGAGTTAGTCAACTGATTAACTGGATTTTCAAAATAATCGTGATTAACATGTTCCGTATCGGCTCTCGCACACAATTTACAGATGACAATATTTTCGTAGTTGTCATTTTCTTTTGAAGCATATTCGGCTTTTTGAAAATTATCGTAAAGAATATAAGGTGTATACAAGAATACCTCTTCATCTCGTATAGTTTGTGGAAGACATTTACGAAAAAGCTGGTAGAATGCTTCGCTCAGCATCTGTTTTTCAAAACCGAACATAGCACCTTCTAGCATATGCTTGAAAGCAAGACAAGCTGGTGGAAATAGAGTTTGACGGAGTAAGTTGAGGAATTGAAATGAATGCGTTACATTAAAGTCAGTGTAATCTGTGTCTGGGTTAGTGCCAAAAAGTGATGTCAATGAATATAAGCTAAGAAGAAAGGTAGACGTTGCTTCATTCGTTTGCTTTACGCATGAGTGTGGTTGCCATAGACCAGTAGCACGAAACATCTCCGCTTTGGACTTATTATCATACTTGTCATGATCTACTTCTAATTCCCTTGGACACTCAAATAAGTAGAAATGAGGAATTCGACTACCTTCCCATTTAATAAAATTAGGCAATTTAAAATAATCGAATAAAGGCTCGTCCGATTCTAAAACATGCATACGATGATTGAATAGAATCGGAAAAGTGCTGGTAAACGTCGAAAGCTCATGGTCATCTCTAATAGTTTTATACAGGTCTCGCATTGTCTTATTATTCTCCAACGCATATTGTCGATCTTTTCCAGATAGTGTTTGAATACGAATAGTGAGGCATTGATTGCTTGACAATGATTTAAGTTCAAGTAACTGTCCTGGTTGGATGCCAAATAATTGTAATGTATATGTGGGAGTCAAACGGGAATTTCCATTGAATAGGCCCAATGTTTCGGTCGATTGAATATCATTATCTTGCGAGAACTGAGAAATAGTTTCTGCTACATTTTTTGTTTCTGGTGGATAAGGATACAAATAATCACTATTTAAATATCTGATTGTCAAAAATTGTGGGCTCGTTGCTGACATTTCTCTTTTTTGCCCTAGAAGGAAAACAGTAAACATGCGTATAACATCATTAGAAGTATGTATCATTATTCGGTGACAGCAATGGACATGAACTTCATTATAGGGTATGGGCGTAGGTGTTAGCGTCTGTGTAACATATTTTGTCACGTGTAGTCACACCCATACCTACGCACATCCTAGTCTATTTAGTAAAGGGAAGTTGCCCAGCAGTTTTCTTCTATATTGGTTTCACATTAAGGCAGTATGTTTCTGCTGGATATAATCTTAATAA